GGACAGACACTGTGAGGGTCCCACTCTAGAAAGGATCAAGAACATGAAGAATGCCCCTGAGGTGTGACATTACATAATACCTATCCAGCAACATGGAGCAAATCCCACCACTTTCATGTGTCTATTGTGGTCAACCCTACAGAGACACACTGCAGTTTGATGCCATTAGAGTGTACATATGACCAAATGTGAATACCAATCTCTGAGGAATATCAAGTTGGAACATACTTAATGGGTATGAAAGTTAGTGGAATGCAATAGGAGAACCCAGGCATCCTGCCTTTTGTCTCCATTATGTTTTGTTTGTGTTGTTGTTTTGAGTTACTCTACATAACTGCTGCAGTCCCAGAACTTCGTAAGTGACCAGAGTGGGAGTAAATTCACAGAGATTTCTTTGCCTCCAGTTCTTGAATTCTGGAATGAAAGGCAACACCTACCAAGCCCAGTTTAGTCTCCTATTTTTATGACTACCTTGTCTTTGAGTGCAAACAATCATGAGTTGGTCTAATCAATGTCATGTATAACTACTGTGGTGGTTTGAATGAGCATAACCCCATAGATACATAGGGAGTGGTATTATTGGAGGTGTGGCCTTGTTGGAAGAAGTGTGTCAATGGCTAGTGTGCTTTGAGGTCTCAGAACCCCAATCCAGGCATGGTGCCTCCCTTACTGTCTCTTCCTATTGCATGCAGATCTTTACGTAGAAGCCTCTGCTACCTTTCCAGCACCATGTCTGCCTGCATTCTGCCATGCTTCCCACCATGATGATAATGGACTAAACCTCTGAAATGTAAGCCAGCCTAAGTTAAATGATTCCTTTGTAAGGGTCTCCATGGGTTTGGTATTTCTTCACATTAAGAAAACTCTAACTGAGATATCTACAAACACTATCCTCATGTGTCATCATCCCCATTTATAGTGAGGTCTCCTGATGAGCCCTGGACTGAGGTGTACATGCAACACAGGATTCATGAAGAAAAGAGGTGCAGGTGTGGGTGGAAAGGAGTTGGTGATGTCCTTGGAAAGAGCATCCTTATGGGGTTACACCTTTGACTGCTTTCTTGATGGTTGCCCTCAACATTTCTGACCATGCTGGCTTACTGAGCCTGGTCTGAGGTTTGGTCTCCAGCAGTGTTAATGCAGGGGGAACCAGCTTAAATTGCTCAACAACTTCAGACTTCAATGGATTTCCTGCTTTGTGATGTTTGGGTATATAATACAGATGAAATTGTGGGAAGAAAATCCTCTGCTTCTGCAAGTAAATGGGCCATCAATAGGGCTTCTGGAAAATATGGGCATTTAGGGACCAAAATCATGAACACCAGGAGAAAAGACAAAGAAAGGAACACAGCCTTGAGTCCTTCAATATGCCTAACTGCTGACCTGATAGACACCCTTCCAGCAAGGCGGTGTTCCCCAAATCCACACACCTGCAGTAATATTAATTGTTTTCTGGGCTACACTCCTCACTGTGTAAATGGGACTGATGCTTGCCTGATTGGCATCTTTTCCTTGCAGCTACTAAGGGGAGTCTTCTGGGAAGAGTTAGGGGCATATTCATCTAAGAGGCAGGCTTGTTCCCACATGTGCACACAGTTGGCAGATGACTTCCAAACAATTTTGAGAACAACGAAAGACAGATTTAGTTAAAAGGAACTCAACATCTCATGGCCTGTCTAGATCTCTTGTATGTGAAGGACATGGGGTGTACTGATTTCTTTCAATCATGTCAGTTGAGGGGATAACAGCAGGAATATCACATTTTATAAGAATATGCGTGTCCATAGGAAGAAGTGACTCAACAGTAAGTGATTCTGGGATTCTCTGTCAGCCTGTGGGCTCACTTCGTCCTTTGTTGCTGCAGTGCTTGGCTGAGAAAAGGCACTGGACACAGTAAACAATGCTGATCAAGCAGTGTTTCTCTTGTTCCTAGGCACAGAAGCACCAGGACAACGGAAGATGGTGTCACCTGTGAATCTACATGCCTTCCAGAATATTATTTCTAATATTTTGGATTATATTATTTCATTTCAAAAATGTATGTGTATGTTCACACATATGAATGTCATGACACACATATGAGACTATTAGGGAACAACATAGGGAGTGTGATCTGTTCTTAAAACACATGGGTTCCCGGAACTCTACTCAGGTCAAAAGGTTTGGGCACACATCACTTTACCATCTTGTCTTTCTTGTGATTCCCTGGTCTTGTATTTTCATATGTTCTCTTTCCTAGAATACCTCTGCTCAGCAATCACCAGAGAGAAACTTTGCAGTGTCGACATAAGAAATCAACTGTGACTATTAACGCCCTGGCATAGATACCTGCAGGAAGAAGAGACTTTCTCCTAATGAAATTCTAATTTCAGTAATGAATGACTACACTGCAAACCTCATTCACAATTTTTTTCAGTCACAATTTTGGGGCCTGAGAGCCTAAGTAGCATAGTTTCAGCTCTTTGTAGGCCTGCATATGGCAGGTGGACAGCACACCTAGTTGAGACAGGAAATGAGAGAGAAATTTAGGGTTCATGACATCTATCAATGCCTTTAAAATCATAGTTATCATATGTTCTTTCAGAGTTTCATAAAATTTGTTTTCATAACCTCCATCCTTTCCCCCATTTCTTCCAAGATCTAACCAAACTTCCACACACATCTAAATTTGTGGCCAACTTTTTCTTTTTAAGCCCTTCAAAATCAATGTGTGCTGCCCAAATTTTTGATGCATGCACATCCAAGAGAAGGTGCACATTTGAACTCATAACAATTCAGACAGCAAATGCAAACCTATGCAGGTTCAGTGAAAGTCTCTTAACACTGACCTTCTCAGAACACATGGACCTCTAATTGTTTCCTTTCCACTTCCTCTTCATAATGCATGAACAGACTGAGATGTCTCAAATGCACACTTCTACAGATTAGGAGCAGGATTCACAGAAATGTGAGATGCCTTATACAAGTCACCAGGATTCCCAGACAGTCACCCCCTACCCTAGAGGTAGCACCAGAAGGCATCCTTCATGACTCATTCTTTGTGCACCCTTGATTCCATGCTCAGAATTCAACTTTTCTGGCACACCTCCCCCATGACAATCAATCTTTTGGTCATCAGTCTCTGGGCTCCAGTCCTCTTTCTCTCCTCTCCCTGCCCCTGCACACACAGCTCACTTACTGGCTTCCCTTCCTAAATGGATGAACACTCTCTTTCAAAATCTTTCTCAGAAACTCATGGAACTCAAGACAAACTTAAATCCCACCATGAGTACACCATCCCTTTTGCCAGGTGGCTGAAGGGGTCTTGGCACACTTCGGGTCCAGGTCCCATTCCCTCTGAGTGACCAGTTTCTGAGATCATCCCTGCTAGGATCTCTCCACCTTCCCAAATGAATCCTCAGAGCTCAGTGTGTCAGTTAAGCCAGCATAGCAGGTTGTCTACACCATCCTGACTATTTGCTCTACAGACAAGGAAGTGTCCCTTGATTTGCCTTTAGCATGTACCTGGGATAGTGAGGGTCACACTGCAACTGAGCCAGGTTCCATCAAGGATTGACAAAAAGCCCCATGGGTGATATCTTGCCACTGTAGTATAGTAGCATGGAGAGATGTCCTCCAGACAACATCTTACTATTTTTTCCCTTTGAGGGATGCCATCCCATTGCACATTTGTGGTCCACAACCCCTCAAGCTCTAATTAGAAAAGAACAATTTCTAACAGATAACAAGCAAACAACAAAATAAAATATACTATGATAAAGCAAACACTACCATATCAAAAATGGACATAGTGATTCAACAGGAGGAGAGACCCAAAGACTCTGCACCTAAAAAAATTGAAAAGAAAAGAAATCACACACTCAAACACACACATGCCAACACATGCAATTGTGTAAACCAAAAACAAACCAAATGTATAAAAACCAACATTGAACCAGTTAATAATATTCCATTCCAATAAGGATGCATTTAATTGTCTCCATTTGATGAAAGTGAGAAAAACTTGATCGTGGTGGAAATTGCACTAAGTTACACATATGATACAGTGAAAGGGAGTTGTATACACCAATTGTGCCAGTGTTAGGGTCCTACTTTTTAAGTGTTACGTAGTTGTGTAAAGACTATGGGAAACCATCATTGGAGGAATTGGAAGAAGAATGTGCAATATATTCTCATTCTTCTGTACCTATAATAGTTCACTGAAGCATAAATATAATGAACCTTAATCAATAAAAAACCAGAAGTCAAAAAATGGGGTAAGAACACGGAACATCAGAGAGCCAGAGGAGCAGCCAACAGTGATTTCTTACCTCTCAGTATCCTCTGACCTTTCTTCACCTCTCTAGCAATGGGATTATAGGCTTGAACCACCAGCACATAGCTTCTATGGTTAAGTAGTAGGGAGCTCCGGCCCTCTGATCCCCCGGCGAGCTTGATTTGTCATAACACAAGCAAAACATCATCCAACAGCTTTGAAACAAAAATTTCACACACACACACACACACACACACACACACACACACACACACACCTACCTCTACTAGACCTAGTGCCGCTTCTGGGCACCAGTCAATAAAATGAAACCAGACCTAGTGTTCCTTTTGCCCTCCAGTCAATAAAATGGAACTGAGGTAATTTTGAAAACAGCAACAAAGAAAGGAAGGAAAAGGCGAAACCCGAGGAAAGGAAACTGTTAGCTCACCCATGAGGATAGCAGATGGGAAGTATAGAAACACTGCTATGTGCTTGCCTTTGTCTAGGAGCATCTAACCCAGAATGTCTCAGGAAGGATGCCAAAACTACTATGAAAAATAATACAACATTTCTGGAATAGGTTTGAGTTTCAGCATGTGATGGTGTTATTGTCACAAGACTGGACATTGTTACACCTTTTGAGGATGCTCCCCAAAAGAAATCCCCCCAGGGAGTGGTTGGTGACGTTGACATTCACGATCCTGTAGGTTCTTGTCATCTTCAAAGTTAGGTGTCAAGGCCAGAGTTATTCTGTCCATTCCTGAAGAAGCATTTTAACTAGACTCTTGCTGTTCTGTTTGTAATGCACATTTTCATTTTCTATTTTCTCTGTGTTTTTTTGCATAAGAGGGGTATGGTTGGTACATGGGTTGAGTGTCATGTTACTGAGGTCTAGTGTCAGCTTTTCTAAGGAGCGTGAATGAAAGGTCTCTTCTGTCCTGGTCCCCGCAGACATCCCAGACGTGCTTCCACCATACTTCTGGCAGAAGTGGCATTCACATTTGAACATCTCCTGAGAGGAATAGCGTTTTCCTTTCCTGTCATTTGGGTGAGGTAAAAGAAACTTGCCACGTTTCTTTCTCTTGATTACAGCTAGGTTTGCTTTCTTTTGGGGAGGTCTTGATTTCTCAGGTTGTTGTTCTTCTTCCATCCTTTCAAATAAAAGAAGCACATATTAGAAACTCAAGGCTCAGTTGAAAAGAGCTCATGCTATCTTTAAATTCTCAGTCAATGGATGGAACTAAAAGAAATCATCCTGAGTGAGTTAACCCAGTCCTCAAAAGACAAAATGGTATGTACTTACTCATATATGGTTCTTAGATCTAGAGCAAAGAAGTAGCAGCCTACACTCCACACCACCAGGGAAGCTCGATAAGGAGGAGGATCCTAAGAAAGACACACATGCTCCCCATGGAAAGGGGAAAGGGACAAGATCTCATAAGCAAATGGAGATCATGTGGGAAGGGGAGAGGGAATTAGAAGAAAGAGAAGGGGAGAAGAGGAGCTGAGAGGAGGACAGGAGGGACCAGGAAAATCTTGTCAGGGTAGGAAGGGAGAAGAATAAGAAAGGGATTCCCTCACAGAGGTGGACATTATAGACTTAAAGAGAATTCTGGCAATAGGGAAATGTCCAGAGATCTACAATGTCGACTCTCAGCTAACAATATAAGCAATAGTCGAGATGCTACCTTAAAAGCCCTTCTCTGATAATGAGATTGATGACTACCTTATATGCCATCCTAGGGCCTTCATCCAGTAGCTGATGGCAGCAGGTGCAGACATTCACAGCTAAACACTGAACTGAACTCTGGAACCCAGTTGCAGAAAGGAAGGAGTGATGAGCAAAGGTGTCAAGACCAGGCTGGAGAAACCCACAGAAATAGCTGACCTGAACAAGGGGTTTCTCATGGACCCCAGACTGATAGCTGGGAAACCAGCATAGCACTGTTCCAGAACCCCTGAACGAGGAAGTCAGTTTGGATGTCTGGACAACCTATGGGGCCACTGGTAGTGGATCAGAATTTACTCCTAATACACAAATGAACTTTGGGTGCCATCTCCTCATAGAGGGATACTCTTGCCCCCTAGACACACTGGGGAGCATATAGGCCCTGCTCCAAATGATATGACAGATTTTGAAGATCCCAAAGAAGGCCTCACCCTTCCCTGGGAGTTAAAAGGGTTGGGATAGGGGAGTCGGTGGGGGGCAGGGAGGACGGGAGGGAGAGGGAACTGAGATTGACATGTAAAAGAAGCTTGTTTCTAATTTAAATTTTAATAAAGTCAAAAAAGGAGAGCTCATGCTGCACAGAGTCCTGGATGTTTAGATATATATAATTCCTAGCTATGGATGCATCTGTGGGGGTATGTTTGGGATCAGAGTTGAAAGATTGGATGCAAGGGAGAAAAGCTGAGAGCATGTTGACAGAGAAAGATTTGGCTCCTGGCAACAACAGCTTTGAAAGCAGACTTAGGACCCAAGTCAAAAGAGAGAAATCATGCATGATATTGGAATGATAGCCAAGTATCCACAGCCTGATGAAGTCATGATTCTTGCAGGAGATTCCACAACTCACTAAACCAGCATAAACCCCAACTACATTCTAAGTATGATTCATCATACTCATAGATAAGTCTACTCCTCAGCAATTACTATGGAAACATCACTTTGCAACACACTGAGATCAATACAGATAACAACAACCAATCAAAATGCAGAGTTGTGAAGAAGTTTCTGAACAGATATATCTACAACAATACCCCTACAGGCAAGGCTCAGGGACCATTGTGGAAGAGGGCTCAGAAAGATTGTTAGAGCTAGAAGATCAGAGAGTTTTCTCTGAGACAGTGTCTCCTAAGAATGTCAGAACCTATCTACATAAAGCCTCACAGACATGACTACATAAAGATGAGCTGAACAAAGATGACCCCAAAATACATGCTAACATGAACATGGTTGTGGGGTGGAGGTAGCAGGTGGGTATCATGAAGTCTTATACAGGTAGAGACAGCTAAGGGATGCTGAGACCAGGGAGTAAATCAGTTCCCAAAAAAGGTCCACACCCATAGGTTATCTAATACCAAATGCTCATCCTTGAAAATATACCTACAAGTAACATTATACAGACTGGGCAGGTTGTATTTAGGAATATGTATGCACTATGACTACAACAATCAATTATAGAAAAGGACAAAATGAATTTGAAAGAGAACACAGGAGGACAATAGGGGAGGTTTTGGAGGGAAAAAAGGAGAGAGGAGATGATGTAATATTAATCTCAAAAAATTTGAGTGCATGCACATCAATCACCACTGGCAACACCCAATCCTCTCTCCTCCCACCCTTACACCTGTTTTCATTGAAATCAAATATCTGCCTCCTAGTGCACTGGAAAGCACAATGTGTTGATTCATTAACTTCAGTGTCTGGCATGGAGAAAGGACAACCAAAATTAGAGCAATTGTTGCTATTGGTCTCCATCCTTTGTGGGTGATGATGGAAAGTAGAAAATCAATGAATGAACAGTACAGTCTGGTGAACCACACAGGAAAAGCAGGGCTCTGATTGGGTTACCACTAGCCATTTAGTTGTGCAGATGACAGTCCTGGATGTTATTCTCTAGTGAGTAGGTATCTCACTCTCTCTCTCCAGAGAGGTACCCTGTAAGTAGTCATCATCTATGCCACACTCTGGGTTAGGGCTTGGAAAGAAGCCTTTCAGTATAGATCAGGAGCTGAGTGCACTTGTCTCCTGGCCCAGAACATCTAGTCAAGGCTCAGCCTCACCTTTTCCGTGCTTCAAATTCCCCATTGCACAGTGTTCTGTGCACCAGAGCTAACACCCCGTGAAAGTGCATCTTTCCTATCTCTCCTGACTTCTACAGAAAAACTGAGACCAAGGAGGAAGACTGCTCTGTTTGGTCACAGATCCAAAATCCACTATTACAGCCCATACAGAGGAAAAACATGAAAGTTCAACCAGAAACAGAGGCAGGCTGAGGGTACAAAGAGAGTCAATAGGTTTGCACTGACTGGAAACTGCAATGGTAGGAGCAGTTCTCCAGCCTGTGAACTTTCCATTCCATGTTTCTGATGGAAACATCTACCTTCATGGGGAAAATGTATGTATCACAGTGAAAGGTCAGTAGGAGCGGGGTTAATCTATTTGAATTACTTTTAAAAGAACATCAAATTAAATGGGGCTTAAGAGTAGAATGTGTCCTAAAATTTATTCCTTTTGAAAATAGATTCTTTTCTAATAAAATATATCCTGAATATGGTTTGTCCCCTCTGTCTACTCCTCCCAATTCCTCCACAAGTCACCTCTCATCCAGATCCACTCCCTTTATTCTCTCAATAGGAAAGAACAGACTCTAAGAGATAATGTTAAAATATAATAAATACAATACAAAGAGGTAAAACAAATACTCTCTCTTCAAGGAACAGGATCACCAACAGAATTAGGGCACCCAACTGTCACATACACAATGGCTCCAGGGAAGACAATGTGTTCAAATGCATGCTATCTTTTGAAAGAAGCCATTCCATTTATCTGCACAGAAACAAGATGGATCCATAACCAAATTCACCCTGTAATGCCCTAACAAGGCCAGTGGTGGAAGTGTGAGGAGCATGCAGGTAGGAGAACTGGTGAAGGTATCTGAGATGCCAGCATATGGGGACAAACCGGGATCCACCATCACTGCACCATTCACAGATAATGGCAGCAGCTCTCTTCCTTTTAGTTCTCACTGAAGCAACATCCACTGGATTTTGTTTGTCAGGTAGACCAGCTGTCTCATTGTCACAGATGAACATGTTGACCACATGACATCCTGAGGCTTCTGGAGTGACTCAGTAGAACTGAAAAGGCTGCCTGGCAGTGGGGAAAACACACAAGTAAAGAAGAGCCTCAGCCTCACCACTTGTCTTCTCCCCTTCTCATTCTCCTAGTTCCCTCTCACCTCCCTCCATGCTCCCAATTTGCTCAGGAGATCTTGTCCCTATCCCCTTCTTCAGGGGACCATATATTTATCTCTTAGGGTCCTCTTTGTTTAAGGGGTCCGTACCAGGCTGGTGAATCCCACAGAAACAGATGACCTGAACAAGGGAAAACTCTTGGTCCCTAGACTGATAGCTTTGGAAACAGGATGGGACTGATCCAGACCCCCTGAATGTGCAGTGAGGAGACCTTGGAAATCTATGGGACCTCTTGTAGTGGATCAGTACTTATCACTACCATAGGAATGGACTTTAGGAGCCCTACAGAGAGGGATACTGCCTGAGCCTAGACACAAGGGGGTGGGCCTAGGCCCTATCCCAAACAATATGACAGACTTTGAAGACACCCTATGGAATGCCTCACTCTCCCTGGAGTGCAGACATGGTATGGAATGGGTAGGGCATTATTTGGGGGGGGGCAAGGGAGGAGGGCTAGGGAGAGGGACCTGGGATAGACATGTAAAATAATTTTCTTTCTAATAAAAAAGTGAAAAAAAGGAAAAAAAAGAAGAGTCTTAGCCTCAGCCTAGCTCACCCAAAAGCCTATCCTGGGACCACTGAGAAACCTTAGAAATGACACAGTCAACAGAACATGAGGGGAAAATACAAATGAAGGTGCTCACTAGTATAAGCCATGTAATGGGCCTGAAGACCATTCCTTCAAGAGAACTGCCAGCTCACAGTTCACACGGCTTGTTTGTATATCCCAGCTCTTTTATTTGTGAGCTTGTGTCTATATCACCCCACCACTTTTTGAGTTTGTGTCTGTACCACAGCTCTAGAATTTGGAAGCATCTTTCTATATCCTACCCCTCCATTTTTGACCTTGTGTCTACATATTACCCCATTTTGATCCTGTGACTATGTCCCACCCCACCATTTTTAAGCTTATTTCTAAGGCCCTGCTATACCACATGCAAACTTGTGTCTGTATCGCACCCCACCAGGTGTAAACTTGGGTCTATGTACTGGATCCAGCATTTGTAAGACATACTGTGTTGTTTCTCTCAGCACTCTAGTATCTTTTGTGGATGGGAGATAACAATTAGTCCCACACAGACACAGTAATTTGTGATGGATGAATGTGATTTAGCAGGAAGCCGTTTGAGGAGATACTGTCACACAGAACATGAGAGGTATTCCTCATCTCCTGGCAACTCATCATGGTTAAAAATGTCTTCCTAGGACACCCATACGGAGTCCTCTGTTCAAACTCAGGTCAATGAATCAGAAGGACTGAGATACCATAGCCTCTCCCTGCTCTCCCCGAGTTCACTGAAGTGACATTCAGAATCAGGTGCATTCCCATAGTCTGTGTGTAAATCTGAACCAAGGTGAAGCAACTTCTTCAGTAGTCCTTCTCATACTGAAGTCCCCCACAATTTTGACCTAAATGAGGCTCTGGGTATGTCTGGGAGAAAGTTTTCCTCAGCATGCTTCTTGTTGTTTCACTGGGCGATGGTTGGAATGACCTGTGGACATGTTTCTCAGGGCTTTTACAGGGAAACCCGAATTATATATTTTCTCATGAGGCTCATTGAAATTCTGCCATTTCCAATAAACAGACTGACTGAGAGAATTTGCCTTGGAGCCAGCCTTGGGCCTAGACTAATCACAGCACTCAGGACTGACCATTCTGAGCACTTTCTCAGGGCAATACACATCTTCAGAGCTGTGGTCATATTTCTTCTCCAGGGCATATCCACGTATGATGAAGGTCTTGAAAATGTGAATGTTTTGTGTCATCATCTCCAAAGTGCTACTAAATATAGCCCATGCCCAAGAAACTTAAGTAACCACAGCAAACAGGTTGGGAGACACGTTTGTGAGGGGTGTTGGGGAGCATTTCAAAACTATGCCTGTTGAAATGCAAAGATTTATTTACCCTGGAAGTATGTAAGCAATCGCCACACCCAGAGCCCTTCTTTTATTTTCATTCACACTGACAATTATCTTTACTCTTTGTCACACTGTCCTCTTCTACATTCTTCAACACTTCTGGTTGTCTCATTAAGGAGGTCTCCCGCCCCATGAGGGATGACATTTTTCCACCATAGAGTCAGGGTTTCCTTGTCTTATCCCTGCTTGGACTGAATTTAACTGTTTTACTATCAGTACAAGTCCTTTCAAAATCCTACCCACCATCCACCATCAACTGGAAATCCACACCTCCTACAAATCTGTATACAGCACCCTACAATAAGGTGGGGATTTTCTCAAATGCCTGTAGTGCCCATGCTCCAGATAATACCTTCTAGATTTCCCATCTGTGCATAGAGGCTTGTGGACTTTATTTAAAGAACTGCTCATCTATATGCAGAGACATACAGCCAATCAACTAGGCACAGAGAGAGTCCAAATTGGAGATCTCCATGGGTTCCTCCCCTGGGAGCTCATGAGACTCCCTAGTAATAAGTAGAGGAAGAACTGCGGGAGTCACAGTGTTAAAGAACACAAGGAGAACAGGGCTCATAGAATCTGCTGAGCATGACACTTGGGGGGCTCATGGACACTGAAGAGACAATCATAGAGCTTGTATGGTTCTTTACTAGGTTTTTTGCATGAATATCCTGTTGTAAGCTCACTGCTCATATGAGATTCCTAAAAGTGTAAGTGATCATGTCTCTTATGCTGTTAGTGCCCTTGGGATCCTGTCCCCTACTGTTGTTTCCCCTTGTCCAGGCATGATGAGTGGCTTTTTGCCTAGTGTTATCAGAATTTGTTTTGCCACGTTCTGTTGGTATCTATAGGAGCTTGCCCTTTCATGAAGGGTAACAGAGGAATGCATTTCAGGGAGACAATAGGTGAAAGAGGAAGGAGAGGAGGGAGGACTGCGTGTTCTGCTGTAGTGGGGATTTATACTATGAGAGATGACTAATATAAATGAGGAAAATAAAAAAAACTTGTGTGTGTGTGTGTGTATACTGCTTGCCAACCTTATATAATTTTCTTATTTTACCCTCTTATTGTCTTCATCACAAAAGAATGGGAGATACAGGCAAGGAAACCTGGGAACACCTGATTGTTTGGACAAGTCACCAGGATTCCTAGTCACCATGCACTTCCAGTGGTCACCACCCATACCACTGCAAGAGTCTGGTTATGCAAGGTGTAGCACTCACTAGATATTCTGGACAAGCTGAGTTAAACAAGAGCCAGTGTAGGAAATCAAACACTTGCTTTGTAAATCCTCTGCTACCACCTGAAGCATTCCAGGACAAGGGGTCTCTGATTACTTACATCCAGGACAATAGACCTTTTCCAACCCAACTGGTTTTCGCTCAATGCTATGTCAATCTGTAACCAAAGGTATGGCTGTAGGTGATCAAATTTTATTGTGTCATCATCTCCAATCTTTAGAAGGCCATAACAGGTTGTCCCTATGTCCTTGTGGTTAAGTGACTCTAAGCCAGATGTCCCTAGTACTGATCTCATCCCTGGAGGTCCTGAAAGAGCTGCTGGGTCCAATGCCACAATGCTTGTTGTGGTAGTTCAGCTCCTTCCACATGTGTGCTACTTGACCCTGTCCCCTTGCTGCCCAGAAACTGAGCCCAGTCAGGTGGTGTTGGATAGGCTTCCCCAGTTCACTCCTGTGCTCTCTCTTCAGCATCCTCCAACAGTCCACTATGAAGACCCAGCTCTCTCTCTCCCTCTGCCTAGGTCCTGTCAGCTCTTGCTCCCCAGGTCTAGCAGAAACACAAAAGAGGTGCTGGTAGAACTTTCAGAATGATTTCACAATGGCATTCCCTTCCTCTGTGAACACAAACTCTGAGTTTCTTTGACCTCTCTGTTCCTTAAATGACTCATATTAGTATTCAATTTTCACTTAGTATTATGTGACGGAAGACTTTCGTATGGGATAGATAATATTGTATTTAGTCCTATCATCAGAAATCTAAGACATTTCCAACCCTGGCTTTTATGTAGTTCTCAACAAACCTTGATTTAGATAATCCTTACTGTACATCTTAAGTGGTTTCTTTGGTATATATTTGTGGCAGTCCTCTTCATCTTCAGTGGGAATTTTTCCTTTGTTTACATTTATTTTCTTTTTTTGAGAGAGAGAGACTTACTACATGATCATGCCTGGCATGAAACTCGATGTGTAAAATACACCATGCAAGAAATCACACAGCAGTGCCTGTTTTTGCATTCTGGTACATGGGATGGGCTGTCATACCCTGTCAATTGTAGAAAAAACTGAAGTGTGGGAGTGATACTGTGAGTCATGTGTCCCAAAGCTCCAAAATGGATTCTCTTCTGACACTCATTCAAGTTTAATTGTCCCCTGAATGCCTTACCCGTGGAGGTCCAGTTACTAGACCCAGAAGAGGACCAAATATTCTTTACAGGGTTTTAGATCATTGCATCATAGCCATGAGCCTAGGAACAGGATAGAACTCTTCACTAGGGAAGCCCTGGTGTGCTTGATAAACAAAGATCACATATGTGCCTAGTCTCATGAACCACTGATTCTCACCTCTCCTCCTCCTCAGAGAGCGACCACATTTGATGTCTCTGGACACTGCCTGGACGCCGGATGTTGTACAATGGAGAGGGGCCTTGAGGGTAGACAGGTAGTGGGACTCGCAGAGCTGAGGGCATATCGATGGCACAGAGAAGCTGGGCCCTCTTGGCAGAGGTATTTCAGAAACTGGAGTCTGGATGGCTCCAAAGCCTGTCAGCAGATTCAGGATGCCTTTTCAGGAAGACTGGCTCTTTCCCTGCAGGGACAGTGTAAGGTAAGTTTGGGGAAAGAGATAGTACTAGGTCTAACTGTTGGTTAGCTTCTTACCTTGAGAAGTCAGCCAGATTTTTTTTTCATTTCATGTGAAATAAAGTTTCACTCTGTGATTGAGGGCCCTAAGACCATCAGCCCCCCACCACACACCCAGCCCTAGTGGACGGTGTGGCAGCACTGGAGATGAGCTGCCAAAGGTCCTGCAGCCGTACTGAGACTCATTGTGACCAAAGAGGCACTTTCAAAGTGCTGAGAGTGAACAAACAGTGGAGGGAGGGTAAACTGGTCCTAAACCTTGTCATAGGATGGTGTTATAGGGGGGATTTTTCCATGGTTAGGTGAATTGAAAAGGAATGAGAATCAGTGTGTGACAGCTTGGGATTGCTTTTGGGTAGAGCCCATCACAGGGCACTAATTTCTATTTCTCTGTTTATGCCTGTATCTAAGTGGAACACACTGGAACTGCCCTTTGTGTTTTACATAAAGGACCAAGCAGAGGCAAGTAGCAGCTTGCTGCTCAAGGAACAGTGTGTGTCAATGTGAATACCTATAGATTCGCTGAAATGTGTTGTGTTTGTATATTTATCTGGGCTTGGGTGATGGGGTCTTATGTAGCTCAGACTGGATGCAAATTCCCTTTCTATCCAGGATGATCTTGGGATTCTAATCCTTCAGCCTCCACACCCCAAAGCCAGCTGTAAAGGCTCACACCAGTACTCCTGTTTTATATTAAGCTTGGCACCACACCAAAGGTGTCCTGCTTCATAGATATCTCTGTCAAAAGAAGGGCAGTCCCAGCTGCATAAAGTGTTTGTAAGAACAAAATATTGTGTCTTCACAGCAGTGCACTCATGAATATCATTGGAATTAGCTTATACTCACCTGCTCCATAGCATTATCTTATACCTCCACCCTGCCTGCCCTTCTGCTTAGCCCCTTTCTCTGTAAAGAGCCAATCATCATTTACAAAGGGCAGCATTATCATTCATTAAATGATGGCCGAAGTTTTACTGTGTGCTTTTACCCTTTTGCCCCATCACTCTCGATAATATGGTGAAATGGAGGATGCACAGACTGCATTGGCCTGCTGTATCCAGTGAAGGATTTAACAGATCCTGGAAACTCCATGCCAACCTAGGCACTTTGGGTCTTAATTACTGTGCTGTGTCGCCATCTACTGGTGACTGTCAGCTCCCCACCTTCCCCTCCATTTTGGTGAGAGTCCTCAATTTTTTGTCTCCTACCAGACACTCTTAACCAAGAGTCCCAGGGATCCTGGACACTCTGTGCACCAACTTGAACTCACGCTCCCAAACATTTGTGAACTTATGTCTGGCCTAGTCTAGGTAGTCTTTGAAAGCCTCCTCCATCTACTGGACTGAACCAATGCCTCACAATACTGCACTGCTCACACTGACACTAAGATATTGAAAGTGTTTAGACGACCTGCCAATTCCTGTTTCACCAGCTCTTAGTTCTCATCCCATGCTTCACTAAAGTCATGTAGGAAGTGATGCAACAACACACAGAGGGTGTCTGTGATAGACAGTACCTTTTGCAGTTCGTCATGCCATTGCTACACAGTATGTAAGCATGCAGGGTGAGCATGAATGCATGTGGTGATTGTTCACATGTGAATGGGAATATATACGTATTAAGGTATTATTTTACAATAGTGTGTGGACAGCATGTGCACAGAAGCAAGCAATCTCCAGCAAGCAACATTGCATGGAGACAGGAAAACACATCCAGGTTCTCACCTTACACAACAGTCAAACCTGGAGGAAGGACAAAGGGGGAAGGATGTGAAACCTTCACAGAGTGGATGGCTAGGGAGGCTCTGCCTTCCACTGGACTTAAGACAGAACTCTGTCTCAGAAGCAGCTCTGTGCAAGCTGCTTCTGCACAGAATGCAGGTTACTGGGAATGCATCCCTTGCTCTCAGTGTGAAATGCACAATGAAGAATCTGTTCCAAGACAGCCACATCATGCTTTCTACTTCCCATTATGCTTTTTGAACAAGGTGAAGATGGAAGAACAGCACCAGACTTGATTCAAATGACTTAGAAACAATATGGTCATGGGTACTATTTCATCATCATCTTCAATCATTGTGATTTTATTCAGCCCCCAGTGCAGAAACTGTCTTTGTGCAAATGAAGCTGCACCTTGATTCTCATTCTGCTGGAGTGGTTGTTTGCCTGTTCAACATGAGTTTCTTGGAAGGAGAGAACCATCATCCTGACAGCTCTGGAGTGCCATTCAGTGGCACGAGGATGTCTCTTCCATTACACTGGTGTTCTCAGAACAGAACACAGACTCATGAGAGCAAATGACTCATGCAGTGATGGACGTATAGAGCCTGTTTGTGACAGCAGAGGTCACACATTACCATTTTCAAACCCCTTAGTGCACAACACCTACAAGTGGGGAGGTATAAGGGAAAAAATTGTGGACTTGCTCAGATGCAGGATTGACAGTGATGACAATTTCCCTGGTCAGAGGTAATCCAGACCTCAGTGCCTGTGCCAGAATCTGTCCCAGCACCTGGGTACCTGGCACTTTGAATGGATTTTGCTTTCGATGTGAAAGAATAAGGTGTCATATCAGGCCCATGAGGTAACGACAAGGATGTATGGAGGTCTAGCATCTCAGGTTTCCTCTTGTGTCTGTGTCCTGTTCTTTGTTTCAGACCCCTGACTCCCTCTGTATACCTATGAGAGTCACTCAAGGACTGACTGACTAACAGAGCAACCCTTGTTAAACCACAGGTCATAACTGCCAAAAATTGACACATCAGGAAGGCTGGCTGCAGACTTCAGACTCTCACCAATAGATTAGCCTTACAGGGTGGGAGGTGGCAGTGTGAGGGTGTAGGGGAGCATTTCAAAACTATGAGTGTTGAAATGCAAAGTCTTTATTTACCCTGGGAGAATGTAAGCAATCCCCCTACCAATAGCCCTTCTTCTCTTTTCATTCATACTGACAGGTGTCTTTACTCCTTGTCCCAAAACTCTCTTCATTTTTTAACACTTCTAGGTGTCTCATTAAGGAACCCTCCAGACACAGAATGGAGGGAATTATTCCTCCATACCATGGGTGTTTCCTTGCCCTACACCTGCTTAGACTGAACCTGAATGCTCTGCTGGCTATCAATACACATTCTATAAAAATCCTACCCAACCGCCACCATCAACTGGAAATCCACAGCTCCTGCAAACGTATACACAGCATCCTACACTAAGATGGGGAGTTCATCAAATGCCTGATGTGTCCATGCACCAGATAATGATGGCTCCTAGATTTTCCCATTTGTACATGGCAGCTCCAGGAATTTGTTTAAAATACTGCTTGTCTAGATGCAGAGACACACAGCCAATCAATTAGGCACATAGAGACCAAATTGGAGATTCCCATGGGTTCCTGCACTGGGAGCTCACGGAGCTTCTTAGGAAGAGGGAGAGGAAGAATTGTGGGAGCTAGTGGGTCAAAGGACACCAGGAGATCAGGGCCCACAGAATCTACTCAGCAGGAGTCATGTGGGCTTACAGACACTGAGGAAACTATCATAGAGCCTGCTTGGTTCTGTGATAGGTCCTCTGCATGAATGTCATGGTCGTTAGCTCACTGCTCTTATGGTACTCCTAAAATTGTAAGTGATCATGTTTCTGATGCTGTTAGTCACCTTGGGAACCTTTTATCCATAATCTTTGTCCCTGTCTAGGCCTGATATGTGGGTTATTGGAACTTGCTATCCTGTGCTCTCTTGGTATCTCAAGCAGCCTGCTGCTTTTTGAATGGAAACAGACAAATACATCTGGTAGAGACAAGAAGTACAGTGGGTAGAGGGAAGAGTGGAGGGAGGCTGTGGTAGGGATTTATATTATGAGAGAAAAATAAAATAAATATGGAGGTATTGTAATGAAAACAGCTTGGAACTAGCACTAAAACTCACAAGCAGAAACGTAATTGAATGGAAAATACATATATTAATCCAGATACCTAAGATCACCTGATTTTTGACAATGAAGCAAAATTATACTCTGGGTAATAGAAAGCATCTTCTACAAATGGTGCTGACATACCTGGATGCTTACAGGTAGAAGATTTCAGATAGATCCTTATCTAATGCCATGAACAAACCTCAAGTCCAAATGGATCAAAGAGCTTACCGTAAAGCCAGCCAAACTGAACCACTTAGAAGAGAATGTAGGAAATACCCTTGGATGAATTGGTACAGGATACCACTTCCTGAACATACCACCAGTAGCACAGATACTACGATAGACCTCCAGACACTATGATAGATCTCCAGAAACTGAGAAGACTCTGTAAGGCAAAGGACATAGTCAACAAGACAAAACTGCAAACCACAGAATGGGAAAAGTTCTTAACTAACCTCACATCTGACAGAGGGCTGCTTTCCAATGTATACAAAGAACTCCACAAGCTAGTCATCAAAATACCAAATAATCCAATTAAAAAGGGGGTACAGAAATAATATAGAATTCTCAATGGAGAAATCGAAAATGGCTGAAAAACACTTAAGGAATTGCTGAACATCTAGGGCCATCAGAAAAATGCAAATCAAAAGACCTCTCAGATATCGTCTTGCACCTGTCAGAATGGATAAAATAAAAAACACCAATGACAGTTTATGCTGGAGAGGATGTGGAGAAAGGGGAACACTACTCCATTGCTGGTAGGAGTGCAAACTTGTGTGGCGACTTTGGAAGTCAGTATGGAGGTTTCTCAGAAAAATGTTAAACAGTCTGCCTCAATATTCTGCAATTCCACTCTTAGGCATATACACATTCATACCACAAGGACATCTGTTTAACTATGTTCATAGCAGCATTATTTG